GAACCCAGGAGGTAGAGGTTGCAGTGAGCCAAGAGTGCCCCACTGTACTCTGGCCAGGGCGACAGAGCAAAAGTAGGTCTCAACGAAAGAAAAAAAATACAAGAAATTAGCTGGGTGTGGTGGCACATGCCTGTAATCCCAGCTACTTGGAAGGCTGACATGGGAGGATCACTTGAACTTGGAAGGCAGAGGTGCCACTCTGCCTCCCAGTGATCCAAGATCACTCCAGCCACCCAGGCTGCAACAGAGCGAGCCGAGATCGTGCTACTACTGTACTCAGCCTGGGCGACAGAGCAAGACTCCATCTCAAAAGAAAACAAAAGTACATGTCCTTGTGTGTGAGGAATCCCTCCAGCTGCAGCTGTAGCCCCCACGCCTGCTCCCTCATCTTTGCATCGTTCTTCACTCCCTGTGAGTTTATTATTGAGCTGTGTTATGAGTTCCTATTCCACTGAGAGAGAGTCCCAGGAGAGCAGCGCGGGGCTCTCTTATCCCTCATGTGAACCTCACTGTATCCCCACCACCTAGTACATAGTAGGCACTCAATACACGTTTGTTCAACAAAAGATCTTATGTATACACACATAGAATATTTTATGGCCTCAGACTCATATTGTGTACATGGTTGTATAAACCTTTCCACCACCATTTATGCTTTTCTCGTATGTCCCTGTCATTAAATCTTTGAGAACATTTTTGAAAGAGCCATATAGTATTCATTTACACTTATGTCTGTGATTTACTTCCCGCCATCCTCATCTCTTATCATCTTTATTAAACCATGGGGAGGATTTTTACTTATTTATTTATTTGTTTTTGAGACAAGAATCTCGCTGTTGCCCAGGCTGGAGTGCACTGGCACGATCTCCACTCACTACAACCTCCGCCTCCCAGGTTCAAGTAATTCTTGTGCCTCAGCCTTCCAAGTACCTGGGATTACAGGTGCACGCTACCATGCCTGGTTAATTTTTATATTTTTGGTAGAGATGAGGTTTGCTCCATGTTGCCCAGGCTGGTCTTTAACTCCTGGGCTCAAGTGATCTGCCCCTCTCAGACTCCCAAAATGCTGGGATTACAGGTGTGAGCCACCATGCCCAGTCTTATTTACTTAGTTAATTAAAAAGTGTTCTATAATAGAGCTGGGGTCTCACTATGCTGCCTAGGCTTGTCTCAAACTTCTGAGCTCAAGTGATCCTCCTGCCTCAGCCTCTCAAAATGCTAGCAATACATGTGTGAGCCACCATGCCTGGCCTATTTATTTAAGAGACAAGGTCTCACCATGTTGCCAGGCTGGAGTGCAGTGACACTATCATAGCTCACTGCAGCCTTGAACTCCTGGGCTCAAGCCATCCTCCTGCCTCAGCCTCCTGAGTAGCTGAGACTACAGGTGCAAGCCGTTATACCTGGCTAATTTTAAAATTTTCTGGAGCAGTGAAGTCCTGCTATGTTGCTCAGGCTGGTCTCAAACTGCTGGCTTCAGCAATCCTTCCACCTTGGCCTCCCAAAGTGTCAGGATTACAGGGGTGAGTCACTATGCCTGGCCCTGGAAAGGCTTTCTTGAGGGAAATGACTGATCAAGCAAAGGCAGTGTGTGTTGGGGGAGCAGATCGGGAGGATGTGAGAAAAGTCTTAAGGGTGTTGAATTCGGGAACGGTGTCTAGAGAGCTGAGTGACTGGGGATTCCTGTACCCAGTAGTGTGTTGGTAAACCGACTCTCAAAAACAAATGTAGCATTTGCCAATTTCCATACTGTAAATCCTACCCTAGTCAATTTCAAGTTCCCAGTGTGACCTGGGAAAGTTACGTGCACAGTCGGCTCTCCTGTGCCAATAGGAGCAGGTTCCAGGACACCCCACCCATGCCCAGGCCTGATCCTCCTTCTGGGATGAGGAGTCCTCTCTCCTTCATGCCTGTGAGCTCTCCCTGGGTCCCAGGCCCAGAATCTCAGATCAACTGGAGACTCAGCCAGTCCTGGACAGAGGGCTTATCGGGGAGGCTGGAGTCCTGATCTTGAAATCTCTCTATCAGATTTCTCAGCCAAGATGAAAACCCTCAGATTCCCCCAGCTCAGCGATCTGGAACTGCCCTGGCCATTGAAGTGTGGGTCTTTGCCCGTGCCTGGAGTCTGGGGCTGGGCCTGCATTCCACCTGGGCCATGTCTCCAGGACCCACCCTCAGAGCTAAGCTATCAAATGTGGCTCAGTATGAGGCACAGGACGTTCCACAATGGCCACTGAAATTTATTGAGTGCTTGTAGCATGCCAGGCTGCACTAAACACCTGGCATGTATTTATTTTCCAGTCTCATGCTTATCCTAGAGGTGGGTGCTATTATTATCCCTACTTTACAGATGAGGAAACTGAGGCACTGAGAGAGTAACTCACCTGCCCAAGAACACTTGGCTTGGAAGTGCAGGTGCCAGGGTTTGATCCCAGGTCAGCCTGATGCTAAACCCTCTTCTGTTAAATCCTGGGCTTAGCATTTCTTCCCACTGAAGTCTTTATGAAGCACCTGCTGTGTATATCCCATGGGTGTTAGACTATGGAGGGAGATGGCAAGAAGATGATTATAAATTTGGCTTAAAGAAACTTGAGGTTGGGATTTGGCCATTTCTTGAGCACCTACAATGTGCTAGGAACGATGGAATGATGCTAAGTCCCTTACACTGCCCTGGAGATGAACTCTCATAAAGCCCTGGGAGACCCATGAGCCTGCCCTCTCCCTCACCTACCTGGATGGTTCCCTGGAGGTCACACACTCTCTCTGGTCTGCCTTTCCCCCCTCGGTCCCTTGACAGGGGCTGCCCTAGGCAACCTCCAACCCCCTGCTAGTTTCAGGTCACAGCTTTTCAGCACAACAGGAAATGGCCCGGCCATGTGGAAAGTTTGGGGAGTGTGGCCATTGCCCCAGGCAAATTGTGGGGTCACACTCCAGATATTGGACAGGAGACAGAGCTGGCTTGTTGGAGGCCCAGCTGGCACAGTCTGTATCCTTGGTATTTTCCCCTGGGGGGCTGGGGAGGGGTGTTTGGGTATATGACTTCCTGCTTAGCTCTGGAAGATGGGCCAAGATGGCTTCGTGGTAATTTAGCGGGCGTCCCATGGGGGCTCTAGGACCAGGCCCCTCAGGTTCCATCATCGGGGGTTCCCACAGGGGTCCTGGGGATCTGGAGGCCTGTCTGAGGTCTCTGCAGGCTCACAGAAGGAAAAGGCCCTTCAACCAGTAGTTTCCACCTACTGTGTGTGGGGGGCATGGAGGGGGAAGGGGAAGATTCCTGTCTTAAAGCTGCAGTTACATAGCAAATACCCTAAGTACCATTCCACCCACTACCTTAGGTGGTATATTTTCTTTGGGGAGGATCTGAGGTAACTGATAAAGATGACAGTGGGTGGGGCGCTGTGGCTCACACCTGTCATCCCAGCACTTTGGGAGGCTCAGGTAGGTGGATCGCTTGAGGTCAGGAGTTCAAGACCAGCCTGACTAATATGCTGAAACCCTGTCTCTACTTAAAATACAAAAATTAGCCAGGCTTGGTGGTGGGCACGTAATCCCAGCTACTCGAGAGACTGAAGCAGGAGAATCACTTGAACCCAGGAGGCAGAGGCTGCAGTGAGCTGAGATTGAGCCATTGTACTCCAGCCAGGCTCAAAAAAAAAAAAAGCAAGATCACAGTGGGAGTGGGGTTTTAACGACTTCTTTGGGGCTACGACTGTTCTGGATCTAACCCTGGGTCATGCCTCATATCCTTCTGAGGAGGTTGCAATACTTTTAAGCCGTAGAGCCTGTTCTGCTAAATCCATTTCCCAGATGGGGTAAACTGAGGCCCAGTCTCTCGTGGGTCAGAGACTCACTAGGCAGCTACCATCTCAGGAAGGAATTCCAGGGCTCTGAGTTCCTCATCAGCCTGTGTGGGAGTCAAGGAGGGAGACTGGGAAGCAGACCATTGGGCTGCTGGCAGAGCTGGGCAGGGCACTCCTGGTCCCGCCGGTCTGGGTGTTGGTGCCTGCACTCAATCTGCAGGGCACTCCCTTTGGTGCCCGGCCTTTCTAAGAGCTTTTGGGCAGGTCAACAATGAACTCAAAGGGAGAAATAAGTGTGCTTGTGGGTCTGCCTGGGGACTGGCCCTCCCTGCCTGTCACACTATCTCATCTAAAATCAGAAAATGTACAAACCTGGAGCCGCCAGAGCAGAGAAAGAGGAAAGAAAATCTCTGCCTGGAGTGAAAGAGCATCCTGGAAGCCTTCCCAGCAGAGGTGACGCGCGGGCCACGCCTGGAAACACAACAATCAGAATATCACTTTCTGGATGTGTGTTAGGTGCCTGTCACTGTCCCGAGACTTTTGTCTTCGTTAACTCATTTAATTCTCTTAAAATCCTGTGACTGAAATGTGATGTCATCCTCGCTCAACAGATAAGACCAAACCAAAGCACAGACAGGTTGAGTGACTTACCCAAGTCCACACAACTACCAAATGTCAGAGCCAGGATTCGAACCGGGAAAGCCAAATCAGTTACTGACTGTGAGACCTCCGCCAAGTTATCTAACCCCTCTGAACCTCAGTTTCTTTATCCATAAGCTGCAGGTAATGGGGCAATAGTGCAGCAGTGTTGTAGTGCACAGCTGTGAAGTCAAAAATGAGCTAATCCCAGTAAAGCGCTTAGAACAGTGCCTGGCACCCATGAAGTGTTCAAACAACTGTGGAGGACTTTTTATCATCGCTGTAGTGATTATCTTCAAGCCTTCCCCTCCCCCATCCGGCCGCGGCTTCCTCCCCCGCAGTGCCAGCCCGTGACGTTAGAGCAGAGTCTGGCTTCTGTGTTTAACTGGAAGCTAAAACGAGATGGAAGGGGATGTTCGAGGCCCCTCCCTTGACTCTGAACGGACCCCCAAGGAATGTGCGACCCTCTCTCTGGCGACGTCTCCCGCCCACCGCTAATACTTGCTCCTGAACATGGGGCGTGGAGGTTGGAGACAGGAGGCCGGTGTCTGCATGGTAGGCAAGGAGGGGCGGGGGCGGAGAGGTGTGAATTGTGTCGGATGAGGGACAGGAGAGGAACTGACAGCGTCTTTTGAGCCTATTGCCAACTCACCAGGAGACAGCGGCCACGCCCATCAGGACGGGGGCTCCTCCCCACCTGCGGTGCCAGCCTAGGTGCACGCTGGCCTCAGCCGCCCGGGCTCTCTGGCGCGTCTTACTGGGGTGCCGACAGAGGGCGCGCGAGGGGGCCCGGGGTCAGGCGGGGGACCCCACGGGAGGCGGGCTTGGGGGGAGGTCCCTGGATCGCCCCTCCCGCCCCCTGCCCGCCCAGACGGCTTTCCTGGAGCTCCAGACACCTAGGCAAGAGCCCGCTACTCCCCTGCGCGCTTTCTGCTCGGAGCACCGCTCCTACCTGTAGAGTCCCGACGGGCGCTCCTTCCCAGGGCACCTACACCGTCTCCTCCTTCGGAAACCTCCCGCCCCAGCTACCCCGGTCTCGGACAGGCGGCGCCGGGACCCCAAGGCAGGGCGCCAAGCTTGAAGCAGGTGACATGTAGACGTCCCCTGGTCCAGCCTCGGAACCCGAGCGCCCCTTCTGCCCGGAAAGTTTGAGGCTAGGCGCCATGGCCAAGACCAGCTCCCTGAATGTCCGCGTAGTGGAGGGCCGGGCGCTGCCCGCCAAGGACGTGTGAGTACTCCTAGGGCGCTTTGGGTTAAGGGGCGCGCCAGGCCTGAGGTGGGGCTGGGGTCGCCCTTTCCGCGTGCCAGGGCGGGTTGGCAGGACGGTGAGGGGTTCTTGTCTAAGACTGGTATTGGGGCAAGTCTGCTTTAAAGGGGCGAGAAGCCCATGCCCATGGCTGTCCCGGTGGGAGGGGGTGCCCAGACTTAGCAGATGCCCTGCCCCTCCCCATCCCCGGGCAGAGGAGGAGGTGTCTTTGTTCCCGGGATGTAGGTTGAGGGGCTCTTCCAGAGCTGAAGAGGGGCTTAGAGGGCCAGATTCTGTCAGATCTGGGAGGGGACAACGAGGGGGGGGGGTCTCTTCCTTAGTACAGGCAGGCGTTGAGGTGGTTCCTCCAGGCCTGGGTGGGGGCCTAGCAAGGGAACCCTGGGGAGGACCCTTGGAGGGCCTGGGATCAGATGAGCCCCACACCATGTGTGCATCTGGTGTTTAGGTTTGCAACGTGTCACCAGGTGGCCCTCCAGGGTCCTCTTGACCGCGAGCCCAGAGCTCTCCAGTCTTGTGGCTCCCAGCCTTGTGTGGGCTTTCCTGGGTGCTGAGCTGCTTGAAGAGGCCAATTCCCCACTGCAGCCCCCTCCCCAGTTTGGTGCGATGGGACTGGGGGACCCTACTGCTCCCCTCACTACCAGTCCCAAGCTATGCTTCTTCCTCCAAGGTTGAGTCAGCACCTGCTGAATCAGCAGAATGGGGGGGAGTTCCCTCTCCTGCTTGGCCTAGTGCCCAGAAGGGGCTCTGAGGGCCTCAGCACCTGTGACAGGTGTAGGATCCTCGGGAGGACATTTGCTGTGTGACCTTGAACCTGCTTCTCTCTGGGCCTTGGTTTCCCATTTGGGCAATGGGATCTCTGGACCGGAGTCCCTGTCTGGATGCCTGGGGTCTCCCATCCAGCTGGGAGGGTGGAGGACCTGTTAGGAGTTCCCATGTGGCCCAGGTGAGCAGGAACATGGATTTCGAGCCTTCGCCTGTGTCGAGGTTTGGTCTTAGCTCTGTGCGATTCTCCAAGCTGTGGGCTCCCAGAGAGGACTCTCCTGCCTGATTTCATGACACTCCCAGCCTCCCAGCACTGCCGCTTTGTCCAGGGGGCAGCTGTTGAGAGCAGTTCTTGCCACCCTTCATCCTCATCAGGTACACCAAATAAACATGCCCTGAACGAGAAGCAGAGGGTGTACTGTGCCGGCTCAGTGACTGGACGAGCCCCCGGCCAGCATCTTTCTGAGCTGTCCCCTCAGAGCCCCTGGGAATAGACAGCCTACACAGTCAGGGCATTAAAGCCGGGCTGGGGGCCTGGCAGCTGCTGGGCAGTGGAAGGAGTCCTTTCCAGAAACCGGGTTCTCACTCACTGAGCTCTGGCCCCTCCACCAGTCCTGGGTGGGAGGTCATGAGGGGGCGATGCGAGTCACCCCTGCACCTGGACCCTGCTCACAGTAACCTGCTGCTTCTCTGGAGGAGAAACTTGCGTCATGCCTGGTTCCTGTGGCTCCTGGCCGCCTCTCCTGCCCCCAGTTCCTGGGCTAGTTAGCTGTGAAATAGGTCATGCCCTAGAGCAAGTGTGGGGAGGAATCACTAAGCCCTGGCTGGGGGGTGGTCCAGCCACCCTGCCTCAGTTTCCCTAGCTGTGAGCACTCTTCTTCAAAGGGGCTCTTCCTGGAGCCTGCTGGGAGCCCATGCTGTGGCGGCTCTTAGGTGAGATGTGTTTCTCCCTCTTCTAAGGGAAAGGGCCCAGACTGCCTGAAGCATTGTCAGGTTTGAGGGGGTCTGAGAGGAGGCCTCTGCAGGTGATTTTAGAGTTATTACTATTATAAATAATAGCCTCCAGTCACTGAGGGCCTAGTGTGGACGGAGTCCTGTGCTTAACACTTCATATGGCCCTATTGGCGTCTCTTATTTTACCAATGGGGAAACTGAGGACCAGAGAGGCAAAGCCACTTGCCTAAGGTCACCCAGCTGGGATTTAAACTCTGACTACTCCATGCCCAAACCAGACTGGGCAGGCGATGGCTGAGAGGACTGCTTTCCCAAGCTTCAGCTGAAGCAGGGGCCGTGGGAGAGGCCATGAGTCTGGAGAGATCAGGGGTTTGGAAGGGCCCACTCGCTCCCACCACCGTTGCCCTCCCTGATAGGAGCCTGATAAGGCCTTCGTGCGTCAGAGCCCTGCAGCTGACTAGTGCTGAGCTTGGCTCCCAGGAGGGCCTGCAGGTCAGGCTAGGTCTGCAGGAGGGGGCGTGTCTCCCAGCCTTCTGCTAATGGGATCCAACCCATCTGACCCCACATCTGTAGCTGGGGAAACTGAGGAATAGGAGCCTGCATAAAGAGAGCTTAGGAGTGGAACCCAGGGAGGGAAACTGAGACACAAGGCATTACCCAACTGCAGATGTCTAAAGGTAAAGCCAAGATGGGGAAACTGAGGCTCCTGGGGTTACTGAATCCAGTGGATTTGGGATGGAGCCAGAAGGGGAAATTGAGGCCTGGGACACTCCGCAGAAGGGGATTCAGAGGTAGGACCCACAGAGGATCATGAGGACACTGGCCATCACCCATGTAAAGTGTTCAGGGATAGAAGCCAGGTAGGGAAGTGGAGGTATTGGAGTGTCCAGCCAGAGGGGGCTAAGGGAAGGACCCCAGAGAGGGAAACCAAGGCACAGGAAAGGGTCATCCAGCAAGACAGGCTCAGGCTGGAACCAACTCTTAGTGCCAACGTCCCTCTTTCCTGGAATCCCTGAGGCATTTGTGGATCTGTGACAAACTGGACACAGAGAAGGTGACAGAGATGAAGGGAGTGGTGCTGGGGCTTGGAGGGAGAGGGCCATTTTGAGGGGTAGAGGCGTCCTTGGTTAAGAATGCAGGTGTGAGCCCACAAACCTGGGTTCCAAACCTATCTCCGCTGTTACTCTCTGCCTCCAGAGAAGGCTCTCCACAAATCCAGTCCTTCAGAAATAGCTCTGGAGGGCCCAATGCATGCCAGATGTGGGGTTGGGGGGTAGGAAAGGGGGGACACAGACTTTCCTCAGGGAGTTCACAGTTTGGAAGTGTCAGGGAGGTGGCGAGACAGACACTAAATATATGGAGAAATAAGGGAGGCTGGGCATGGTGGTTCATGCCTGTAATCCCAGCACTTTGGGAGGCCAAGGTGGGTGGATTACTGGAGGCCAGGAGTTCGAGACCCAGCCTGTCCAGCATGGTGAAACCTCGCCTCTACTAAAAATACAAAAAATTAGCCAGGCGTGCTTGTTCGTGCCTGTAATCACAGCTACTTGGGAGGCTGAGGCATAAGAATCGCTTGAACTTGGGAGGCGGAGGTTGGTGTCAACCAAGATGGTGCCACTGCACTCCAGGCTGGGTGACAGAGAGTGAGACTGTCTCAAAATAAAAAAAAAGAAAGAAAGATAAAAGAAGAAAGAAGATGATTTTAGGTGGAGGTTGTTTTAGACAGGACAGTGGTGGCCAGGGACAGGCTCTCGAGGAGGTGACTTTGGACTGAGACTTGGCAGGAAGTGACTTTGGACTGAGACATGGCAGAAAGGAATCATCCATGGCAGTATCAGGACCAAAGTGTCTTAGGCAGAGGGAATAGCAGGTGCAAAGGCCCTGAGGCTGCCCCGGGGCCTGAAGAAAGACAAAGGAGTCCTGTGTGATGGGATGGAGGAGGAAGTGAGGGCTGCTAGACAGCTTAGGATTTGATTGTTATTATGAAGTGGGGCTGGCATGGATGAGTCGATGACTCATAGCTACTCAAGGGGGTGCAGCACATCTTAAGAGATTTTGAGAGTTGATTTTGAGGTGTGGGTCTCCTGGTCTGTGCCTGTAGGGAGAGTGCTGAGTCTGTCCCCATGGAGGGCTGAGGAATGGGAAGTCCCCTCCCCAGGGAAGCTCCCATTGAAAGGAAAAGCTGGGGAAACAGCATTAAGGCCCGGGCAGAGGAGAGCTGGGGGCTGGCCCGTGATCTGGCCCAGCATTTGAGTTTTTCCAGCCCCCAGGAGGTGTGTGTGAACATCTCGCCTGATTTTTAGAGCAGAGAAACTGAGGCCCAGAGAGGGAAGGGGACTCGCCGGATGGCACCGCCAGAGAGTGGTGAAGCTACATGTTCAAGACCCCCTGGCACACGCTCCGGGCCTCTGCATGGGGCTTTTTGGGGCTAGGACTCTGAACCTCCTGGCCCTAGGCCTCCCTGTTTTATTTCTATGAGTGGAAGCCCAGAGTGCACAGAGGTGGTGGCCTGGGCAGCTGTGACATCTGCTGGTTCCCTGAGGTTCTGCCACTTAGCTGGACTTGCTGTGTGACCCTGGGCAAGTCCCCTTCTCTGTCTGTGCCTCCATATCCCCTGCCTGTGTAATGACTGGTAACCCCCACTCATGGCTGCCCTCCCAACCTGCTTCCTCCCAAATCCCCTCATTCTGCAGGTCTGGGAGCAGCGACCCCTACTGCCTGGTGAAAGTGGACGATGAGGTGGTGGCCAGGTAAAGGGTGGTGATACCAGGCCTGGGGTGAGAGGAGGAAGGGAGGGGTCTCTTTCTAGACCTGGGGAATCTGGGACCAAGAATTCACATTTAAAGGAGTGCTGGCTGGGCACGGTGGCTCAGCCTGTCATTCCAGCACTTTGGGAGGCTGAGGTGGGAGGATCACTTGAGGTCCGGAGTTTGAGACCAGCCTGACCAACATAGTGAAACCCCGTCTCTACTAAAAATACAAATTTATCCGGGCATGGTGGCATGTGCCTGTAATCCCAGCTACTCGGGAGGCTGAGGCAGGAGAATCAAACCTGGGATGGGGAGGTTGTGGTGAGCGGAGATCGCACCACTGCACTCCAGCCTGGGCAACAAGAGCAAAACTGTCTAAAAACCAAAAAAGGAGTGCTTAGGGGGACTCTCGGGCCTGGTGGTGGGTGCTTTGTGCACAGCTGGGATTGCCAGCTCGTCTCCCCGACCTGCCCCAGCAGCTGGCTCGATGCCCTCCCACTCTGGACCTGATGCTGCCCCTGCTGGCTCCCTGGGGCTGACTCAGCGCTGCCAGCCTGTGCCTCCCACAGTGGCCTCCCTGGGGGCGGACATCTCACGCTTGACTGGACTGGCTGGTTCCGGGCCTGCCGGGTGCTGCGGGCACTAGGGGTGTGTGTATGTGAGGGTGCATGCGTGTGTATCTGTGTGTGTGCCCACCCAGCTGGGCCTGATTGTGAGTTGCAGGGGGTGGGGATGTTGCAGGGCTAGTGTGAGTGCCTGTGACCACGTGCGTATGTCCTCCGGGGTGTGCAGGGCACAGGCTCACGTGTGTGTACCAATGTAGTGTGTGTGTACATGCACGTGTGCATGGCTGCCCTGGACACGCATGTGAACACCAATGCCTGCTGATTTGGGCATACAGGCGCCAGTGTGGACACATGTGAGGGTGTGAGGATGTTTGGGGTGTCTGTGAGTCTTGCAGGGGGACATCGGAATGAGACCTGCTTGGCTCCCACCCCCGCAGGCCGAGGGACACTTCTCAGCCCCCGCAGGCCTGATGCGGGTGGGTGGGCTGGTGGGTGGCTGAGGCCTTGGTTTCTATGGAGACGGCAGGATTGAGGATGCTCCTGCTCTGGTCCAGATGGGCTTGAAGCTGGGGGTGGGGAGCCACCTGGGGGAGGGTCAGCTGCAGCTCCCCCCTCCACTGTCCTCCTTGTTATCATGCTGGCCCCTTGCTGCTGTCTCTCCCTCTCTGGGCCTGTGAGGAGCCTTTTGGCTCAGGAGCTGGGGAACCTTCAGAGGACCTTTGGCTGGGAAAAGGTCAGGTTTTGGGGAGAGGGTGTTTGAGAGGAAGCACTGGGGGTCCATCTGAGGTTGGTGCCTCTGGGCTGGAGGAAGAGGGCAGTGTGTGTGTGTGTGTGCGCGCGTGTGTGTGTGTGTCTGGGTCTCCAGGTGTCTGCCTCCTGTGTGGCCCGAGGACCTCCAGCCCCCTGCACCTCCTTTCACAGGACAGCGACTGTCTGGAAGAGCCTGGGCCCCTTCTGGGGGGAGGAGTACACTGTGCACCTGCCTCTGGATTTCCACCAGCTGGCCTTCTATGTACTGGATGAGGACACCGTTGGGTGTGTGGCTGGGGAAAATGGGATGCGTGGGTTGGGGACCCAAGCCTGGGCACATGAGGGGAGAGGGGATGTGGGTCCACACCCCACAAGGGCATGCCCTCCCACCCAGACCTTGATGCCTGCCCCCACTTCTCTCTGGGCGGGGCAAGGGAGTCCCTGACTCGGACCCTCACGTGCCCACCCTTCTGCAGGCATGACGACATCATCGGCAAGATCTTGCTGAGCAAGGAGGCCATTACAGCAGACCCCCGAGGTGGGCGAGGGGCAGGGGCAGAGGGAGGAGGGGGCCATGCTCAGGCTGGGCATTTTCAGGGGCATAGCACGTGGCACCAGGAAGCACAGAGCCTTCAGTGGAAACTTATTTCTCTTGTTGCTTTTGTCTTTAATTTTTGTTTGTTTTTAATTGTTGTTAGACACGAGGTCTTGCTCTGTCCCCCAGGCTGGAGTGCGGTGGTGCTACCATAGCTCACTGCAATCCTGTACTGCTGGCTCAATTGATCCTCCCATCTCAGCCTCCGGCGTAGCTGGGATTACAGGTGCACGCCACCACACCCAGCTAAATTTTTCAGAAATATCTTGTAGAGACGGAGTCTTGCTATGTTGCCCAAGCTGGTCTTGAACTCCTGGGCTCAAGCAATCCTCCCACCTTGACCTCCCAAAGCGTTGGGAGTACAGATGTGAGCCACTGTGCCCAGCCTGGTCTTTACTTTTTGAGCAGTTGTTTGTCTGGTTCATTATTCAGATTTGACAATAAGCACCCGGCTACTCTGCTCCCTTCCTGACATCGTCAGCTTCTTGTATGTCCTTCTAGAAATATTTTAAACATATATAAGCAAGTAACAGTGGTAATAGCAGGCTGGGCATGGTGGCTCTCCCCTGTAATCCCAGCACCCTGGGAGGCAGAGGCAGAGGCAGGGGGATCACTTGAGCCCAGAAGTCCGAGAGCAGCCTAGATAACATAGGGAGACTCCATCACCACTGCAGATTATTTAAAAATAGTAATAGCAGCAAACATTTATATACCATAAATATAAACATATATATTTATTATTATACATATAAACATATATTTATTATACGTATAAACATATATATTTATTATTATACATATAAACATATATATTTATTATTATACGTACAAACATATATTTATTATTATATATATAAACATATATTTATTATTATACGTATAAACATATATTTATTATTATACGTATAAACATATATATTATTATACGTATAAACATATATATTATACATATAAACATATATTTATTATTATACGTATAAACATATATTTATTATTATACGTATAAACATATATATTTATTATTATATGTATAAACATGTATTTATTATTATACGTATAAACATATATTTATTATTATACGTATAAACATATATATTTATTATTATACGTATAAAGATATATTTATTATTATACGTATAAACATATATTTATTATACGTATAAACATATATATTTATTATTATACGTATAAACATATATTTATTATTATACATATAAATATATATATTTATTATTATACGTATAAACATATATATTATACATATAAACATATATTTATTATTATACGTATAAACATATATTTATTAATATACGTATAAACATATATTTATTATTATAGTATAAACATATATTTATTATACGTATAAACATATATATTTATTATTATACGTATAAACATATATTTATTATTATACGTATAAACATGTATTTATTATTATACGTATAAACATATATATTTATTATTATACGTATAAACATGTATTTATTATTATACGTATAAACATATATTTATTATTATACGTATAAACATGTATTTATTATTATACGTATAAACATATATTTATTATTATACGTATAAACATGTATTTATTATTATACGTATAAACATATATATTTATTATTATACGTATAAACATGTATTTATTATTATACGTATAAACATATATTTATTATTATACGTATAAACATATATATTTATTATTATACGTATAAACATATATTTATTATTATACGTATAAACATATATTTATTATTATATATAAACATATATTTATTATTATACGTATAAATATATATTTATTATTATACGTATAAACATATATATTTATTATTATACGTATAAACATATATATTATACATATAAACATATATTTATTATTATACGTATAAACATATATTTATTATACGTATAAACATATATTTATTATTATACGTATAAACATATATTTATTATTATACGTATAAACATATATATTTATTATTATACGTATAAACATATATTTATTATTATACGTATAAACATATATATTTATTATTATACGTATAAACATATATTTATTATTATACGTATAAACATATATTATACATATAAACATATATTTATTATTATACATATAAACATATTTATTATTATACGTATAAACATATATTTATTATTATACGTATAAACATATATTTATTATTATACGTATAAACATATATTTATTATTATACGTATAAACATATATTTATTATTATACGTATAAACATATATTTATTATTATACGTATAAACATATATTTATTATTATACGTATAAACATATATATTTATTATTATACGTATAAACATATATATTTATTATACGTATAAACATATATTTATTATTATACGTATAAACATATATTTATTATTACACGTATAAACATATATATTTATTATTACACGTATAAACATATATATTTATTACACGTATAAACATATATATTTATGTATAATAAATAAATAAATATGCTGACCACTAAGTTCTTTACATGTACAGTCTCAGTTACCATCGTAACCCTGTGAAGTAGGTTCATCATAACCCTGAGAGGTAGGTGCTTTCATTATTAATGCCCACTTTACAGGTGAATAAACTGAGGCACAGAGGGTTAAATGAAGTCATTTAACATTTAAATGAAGTCAAGATCACATTAATAAGTGAGGCAGCCAGGATTTGAACCAAAGTTGTCTAGTTCCAGAGTCTGTGCTTTTGTGTGTGCGTGAGAGACAGGGTCTCATTCTGTCATGCAGGCTGTGACACAGTGCTGCAATCTCAGCTCACTGTGGCCTCAACCTCCCAAGCAGCTGGGACTACAGGCATGCACTACCACGCCTGGATAATTTTTGTTTTTGTAGAGGTAGGGTTTCACCATGTGAAACCAGGCTGGTCTTAAATTCTTGGTCTCAAGTGATTCACCTGCCTCAGCCTCCCCGTGCTGTGGTAACAGGTGTGAGCCATTGCACTCAGCTGAGTCTGTGCTCTTAATACTGCACTATCTGTGTTTCTTCTGTGCTTATGCAAATTGCAGCCTTTTACACTCTGCTCTGTATCTTGCCTTAAAAAAATTTTTTAATTAATTAATTAATTTTTGAGATGGAGTCTTGCTCTCTCTCCCAGGCTGGAGTGCAATGGCACAATCTCGGTTCACTGCAATTTTTGCCTCCCAGGCTGAGGCAATTCTCCTACCTCAGCCTCCTAACTGGGATAAAAGGCACCTGCCACCACACCTGGCGAATTTTTGTGTTTTCAGTAGAGACAGGGTTTCACCATGTTGGCTGGACTGGTCTTGAACTCCTGACCTCAGGTGATCCACCTGCCTCAGCCTCTCAAAGTGCTGAGATTACAGGCATGAGCCACCATGCCCAGCCTATATCTTGCCTTTTTACTTCACTAAGTATCTCTGAGATCTTTCTATGACAGTGCTCTCAAGAGTTTCTGTGTTCTTCGTTTCCTATGGCTTCGTGGTGCTCCATTGTGTGGCTATACCACTGTTTATTTAGCTAGTTCCCTATTGGTGGCATCTAGGGAGTTCGCAGTCTTTCCCTGGCTCAAGCAATGCTACAATAACTGGCCTGTACAAATATAATTTCACACATATGTAAGTTCTATCCATCAGTCAGATAAATTCCTAGAGGTGAACTGAAGAGCACATGCATTTGTATACTTGATAGTTGTTGCTAAATCACCCTCCATGGAGGATGTAACCATTGACTCACCCCACGCTCTCTCGCAAACAGTTCTCAAAACGTTTGGTTGTGTATCTGATGGGTGAAATATTGCCTCAGCATAGGTTTGCTTTGCACTTCTCCATGAGTCAAATCGAAAACCTTTTTTATATAGTTTTGAAGAATCACTTTATTTCCTCTTCCATTTATTGTCTATTCATATTATTCATGAATTTTGCCCCACACTATGTTGTTTGCCTTTTCTTATTGATTTGTAGGAGCTCTTTACATATTGGGGGAGTTAATTCTTTGTCATATTAGCTGCAATATTTTTTCTCCATTTTCTCTTATGTTTTGACTTTGACTATAATTTTTTCATGTATACAATTTCTTTTTCTATTTTCAATCTCATATTTTTCTTTTGGCTCTGAACTTTCTGTTAGACCTAAAAAGACCTTCCCAACTCTAAGATTAAGAGAAACATTTTAAAACATAATTTCTTCTAACATTAGTGTATTGCATATATATTTGTTTGTTTGTTTTGTAGAGATAAGATCTCACTCTGCTGGCCAGGGTGATCTTGAACTCCTGGCCTCAAGCAATCTTCCTGCCTCAGCCTTACAAGGTGCTGAGATTACAGGTGTGAGTCACCATGCCTGGCTATTTATTGCATGAATAAAAAAATTAAGTCTTTGATCTATTTGGAATTTGCCTAGATATAAGGTATGTAGTAAGGATTAAACTTCATTACTTTTTGTCTACATGACTATTAACTGTCTCAATACCATTTCTTGAATAATGCATTATTTCCCTCAGTGGGAATTAGTTGAAAACCTACTACGTGCTGATGTTCATTATAATCATTGCTCCTATTTCACAATGGCTTATATCTGCCGGGCATGATGCTCAGCCCGTTACCTTTAATTCTCAACATGCCAGTGAAGTCTGCGCCAGAATGGTCTCCAGTTTACAGTGGTGTGGAGAGGGGAGGTGACTTGCCCTTCCAGAATGATCTCCAGTTTACAGTGGCGTGGAGAGGGGAGGTGACTTGCCCTTCCAGAAGGTGCAGAAATCGAAGTCAAACCCAAGTTGTGTCTGCCTCCAAAATCTGTCCTCTTAATCTGCCCACTGAGCTGTACCCGGTGTGCCTCAAACATCCTCCCAGGGAAGTGGAATTAAATGAATGAAGTACGAGGCCTGGCTTGCAGGAACTTGTGGACTTGGGAAGAAAGACCACGTTCCCACAGAACAGGGAGCAAGAAACGAAGGAAGATGTCCATGTGTCTGCATGCGTGTGGGGGTTTTTATTTATTTAAGCAGGACAGAAATGTGGAGGCAGCAGTGGGATAGAGAGACGAGAGATGGGACTTCAAAAGCGCTCTCCTGCTACACAACAGTAAGATCCTGGATTAAATAGGATTCCTAATACATTGTTGGACTTCTGGAACTTTTTTTTGTGTGTGTGACAGAGTCTTGCTCTGTCACCCAGTCTGGCGTGCAGTAGCATGATCTTGGCTCACTGCAACCTCCGCCTTTCAGGTTCAAGCGATTCTCCTGCCTTAGCCTCTGGAGTAGCTGGGATTACAGGTGTGCACCACCATGTCTGGCTAATTTTCTTTTTGTATTTTCTTTGAGACAGGCTTTTGCCATGTTGGCCAGGCTAATCTTGAACTCCTGACCTCAGGTGATCAGCTCGCCTTGACCTCCCAAAATGCTGGGATTACAGGCATGAGCTGCCACGCCAGGCCAAACTTCTTTACAGAACAGGAAATCCCTCAGTATTTTTTTTATCTCAAATTATGAGGCTGGGTGGGATGACTCACATGTGTAATCCTAGCACTTTAGGAGGCTGAGGCTGGCGGATCGCTTGAGGTCAGGAGTTCAAGACCAGTCTGGTCAACATGTGAAAACTGTCTGGATCGCTTGAGGTCAGGAGTTCAAGACCAGCCTGGTCAACGTGGTGAAAACTGTCTCTACTGAAAATACAAAAATAAGCTGGGCATGATTGCAGGCACCTGTAACCCTAGCTACTTGGGAGGCTGAAACAGGAGAATCGCTTGAACCTGGGAGGCAGAGGTTACAGTGAGCTGAGATCATGCCACTTCATTCCAGCCTGGGTAACAGAGTGAGACTCCATCTCAAACAAAAATGAAAACAAAAACAAACACCATTAGCTAAAACCTAACAGGGAATGATAAACAAAAAGCAAGGAGATCACGAAGGATTTCCCCGAAAGCAAACATCAATATCAATTCTACAGTCAACAAAGAGACTAAAACTTGTACTGGGGAAAGGTGGATGTTACTCGACATGAGGATTCGCCATTAGGCTGAGACCCTCAAGGGTCTCATGCTTATGCTCCTCTCCAGAGATAAGCATCTTCACTTAGGTTTTCCACAGAGTAAGATCAAACAAACATGATTTCACAATCAAAGATCAGCAAACACACAAGGAAATGAGATACCATAGGCAATAGTCAGCAGAAACAATAATCATCTGATTTAGACCCAAAAAGACTTTAGATTCTGTAATTATAATATGCAGGATTTTTTAAAAAATCAGATTTAAAGAAATAAAATATATGATCACAAGAAAGGCCAGCAACAACAGCAATAAATTACAAATAATTATGTAGGCAGATTTTTAAAAAGAACCAAGTAACACTTTTAGAGGTAAGTATAAGTGTTGAAATAAAAAATTTAAATGGCTGAGTGAAACATCAGATTATTCACAGTTAAAGGGAGATTTAGTGAACTGGAAGAAAAGTCTAGAGAAATTATTCAGAATTCATCTTAGAGGAAAAGAAGGAAAAAAAAATAGAAGTTCAGAGACATGGAAAATAACTGTGGAGGTTTAACATTTATTTAACTAGAGTTCCAGAAGGGTAGAATTTGAAAAATTAGAGACAGGCAAAAGTCATAACAAAAATTGGGAAGAGGAAATAATTTTTAAAAATTGATCTAGAATTTTACAGAACTAAAGGAGGGATATGATTCCATAAATAGAAGAAGCACAATTTTAAATTTTAAGCAAGATTTTAAAAATCTGTATCTAGACGCATTGGGATGAAACTGCAATGCATCAAAGACACAGTCCTTAGAATTGTATTAGGTAGAAAAGGCTGGGCACGGTGGCTTCCGCCTGTAATCCCAGAGCTTTGGGAGGCCGAGGCAGGCAGATGGCCTGGATTCAGGAGTTCAAGACCAGCCTGCGCAACATGGCAAAACCTCATCTTTACAACAACCACACAAAATTAGCTGGCTGTGGTGGTGCACATCTGTAGTTCCAGTTACTGGGGAGGCTGAGGCAGGAAGATTGCTTGAGCTTGGGAGACTGAAGCTGCAGTGAGCCGAGATTGTGCCACGCCACCGCACTCCAGCCTGGTGATGGAAAGCCAGAAGTCACTGGAACAATATCTTTCAAAGTGTTGAGCGAAATAGGGAGAAATGCCCAAGATTTTTTTTTGTTTTGAGGGGAGAGTATGTTGGGATGACATGATGGAGTTCTTTTTATATCAGGGTGAAGTGTGTGACAGCACATGGCTCCTAGCATTGGCCCTAAAACTAACTACACCGCCTGCGTTCAAATTCTAGCTCTGCCATTTGCTAGCTGTGGGACCGTGGACAAAGCTCTTCCTCCCTGTGCCTCATTTTCCTCATCTGAAAATGGGGATAATTGCAGCACCTGTATCAGAAGCCAGGGTCTTAACACATTTTAAATTTTAATTGAGGCAGGGCGTAGTGGCTCATGCCTATAATCTCAGCACTTTGGGAGGCTGAGGTGGGTGGATCACTTGATCTCAGGAGTTCAAGATCAGCCTGGTCAACATCGTGAAACCCCACCTTTACAAAACAATACAAAAATTATCCAGGCATGGTGGTGCATACCTGAAGTCCCCGTTAGTCAGGAGGCTGAGGCAGGAGAATCGCTTGAGCCCAGGAGGCAGAGGTTACAGTGAGCCAAGATCGTGCCACTGCACTCTGTCCTGGGCAACAGAACCAGACCCTGTCTCAAATAATAATAATAATAATAATGAAAATAATGCTAATTGGATTTTTAAGTTAACACAATGTCCAGTATATGGTAGACACTTCATACATGCTGGTGCCTATGACCTCCAGGGATTGACAGCTGGATCAACCTGAGCCGAGTGGATCCAGATGCAGAAGTGCAGGGTGAGATTTGCCTGTCGGTACAGATACTGGAGGATGGGCGGGGCCGCTGCCTTCGCTGCCATGTGCTTCAGGCCAGGTATGCTCAAGGTGGAGGTGGTGTGGAGGGTAGTCTGAGAATGAGCAGGAGTCCCCTGGGTCTCCCCTGCTGCCTTGCCTTTGGGACCTCCTCACTCTTGGGGCACTTCTGGGCTGACAGTCAGGTTCCATGTATGGACGAATAGTCCAAGATCACCAGGTTGTAAGTTCCTGGGGCAAAATCCTATTGAGTCCCCAGGGACTGGCAGCAACAGACCAGACACTCAGGATGACAGGTGACAGGTGAGTGTGGAGGTGTAGTCATCAAATTGTAACTGACAAATACCCAATTCATACTGGCTTAAGCAAAAGAAGTACTTTATTGGCTCATATGACTGACATATAGCTTCAGGCATGGCTGGATCCAGGTGCTTAAACGATGCCATTAGGAATCTGTCTTTTAGCTCTGCTGATCTCTGTGTTAGCTTTGTTCCTAGGCAGCCTCTCCCCAGGTGAGAGATGGCCCTAGCAGCTCCAGGCTGGCCCCCTGCCAGCTTAGCCACTCCAACAACAACAACAAAACACTTCTATTTCCTACCATTTCTAATCACTGTCCTGGGATTAATTTTGACTGGCTCAGGTTGGGGCACATGCCTATCTCTGAACCAATTACATTGAATAATGGGTCAGACCTGAGTCACAAGCCCATTCCTGGGGCAGAGGGAGGGATTGGCCCCCACTAAGTCATGTGAGAGGGGTAGTGAGAAAGACAGGTTCTGTCCCAAAGAAAAATCAGACAGAAGATGGGTGCAAGACCAGTAAAACCCACAGGTGGCCCTCCAGGGGCAGCAGCTCATGGGACGCACATCCTCCCTCTTGCCGACTCATCATGGCCATCCCCTTCTCCCTTCCTCAGCTCTCTGTCATCTTGCTCCCCCAAATGCCTCCACCCTTCCCTTTTCTCTCTCATTCTGTCTTGCTGCCTGTTTTTCACCTCCCCAGCTCTCACTTTTAGGCAAATCCCTGCCCAGATTGGGAAGGGCCTCCTATTTCTAGCTTGCTGTGTGACCATAAAACCCTTTCTTGCCCTCTCTGGGCCTCTCCCACCACCTCCAGACTTTTGCTTCCAGCCTTGGCCCCAGCTGGGTCTCCCTAGAGTCTGGTTGAGGGAGAACCAGGGAGGCAGGGGACAGGCTGAAGGACTCAGCAGGGGGCAGGGGCTCCTTGTCTTTTTTGTGTCCATGGCCCCTTCCCCAGCCACAGGGCTGTGCAGGATCCTTGCAGGCATGAGAGGGACTGATTGCTGTCGCTTAGCAACCGGGCCAGTTCCTAGGAAACCAAAGAAGGCTTTGGATGCTGAGCAGGGTGGGAAGGGAGCAAGAGGAAGAAGGAAGCAGCCCCCGGTGTGGGGGTGGGGTGGTGGTGTGTTCCTGGGTTTGGGAAACCTCAAGAAGGAGGGATGGGGAAGCTGCCTGGAGTAAGACTTTTGGGTTGTCATGGCAACCAACGGCAAGGCGTCCCTGCCTCGTGCCTTCTCTTGGGTCCTAGACAAGGTGTGGGCATGGGTGTTTGTTGAATGAATAAATGAACTGAGCAGCCACCGCCTGCCAGGTGCTATGCTAGGCCCTTCACACACATCATCCGATCTCATCCTCGGCTCTATGAGGTTGGTCTGTTATTACTCCCATTTTCCAGGTGAGGAAATGAAGGCTTACAGCGGGGAAGTGACTTTTCCTAGTGTCCCCTAGCCAATGAGTGCAGAGCCAGGCTTTGAACCTTTGCATCAAGTTTCCCATCTGCAGCCTCCAGGGAACCTAAGGCTCTCCCCGCCACCCCCACTGCACTTCTACTTGCTGGGCTTTGTGATGCAGGACAGGACTTTTTGGTGCCTCATTTCCTTATCTGGAAAATAGGGACATACGAGTGCCTACCCACAGGGTGATGACAGGAAGACACTGGGTCTTGATGGGCAAGGTGAAGAGTATCCCTAGCTGGACGCTTACAGTGGAATAGTTCGTTGCCCTGGAAACCAGGGACATTGGAATGATCTACTCTAACCAACCTTTCCAAGGCTGTGTTGAGTGCTGTGTTCCCTCACTCCTTTCCCCATCTGTTCCCAGGGACCTGGCTCCCAGAGACATCTCTGGCACATCTGACCCATTTGCACGTGTGTTTTGGGGCAGCCAGAGCTTGGAGACCTCAGTGAGTGGTGGGGAATGAAACTGGGAAGGAGTGGGGCATCTGGTGGTGGGGTGGGGGTCCCCATCAGCTCTCCCACTCACAGGCCACTTCCTTCGTCCTCAGACCATCAAGAAAACTCGCTTCCCGCACTGGGATGAAGTGCTGGAGCTGCGGGAGATGCCAGGTGCCCCGTCCCCACTTCGGGTGGAGCTCTGGGACTGGGACATGGTGGGCAAGAACGACTTCTTGGGCATGGTGAGCCTCACTCCCTGCAACACCCTCCATGGCTCCTCAGTGCCTCCAAGGGGGAAGATGAGATGGGCTGAGTCCTGGCTCCCAGAAGGGTGGATGTGCAGCTGGCTCATCAGGTTCTCCTGGTTAGGCCTGGGTGATGCAGTTCCATTGCTCTATTGTACAGGTGAGGAAACTGAGGCTGTTAAAGGTACAGGAACCTACCCAAGATCACAGGGTGGGCCCAGATTCTTATTCTGGGATGAGAGCATGACAGATGACTATGTGCTGGCCTGTACTGAGTGTCCCTCCCACAGAGCCTCGCTGCTTAACCTTCATGGCCACTCTTTGAGGCTGGGTCTATTGCTATCCCCATTTTACAGATGGGAACACTGAGGCTCAGAGAGGCTAAGTGGCTTTTTCCAGGTCATATGGCTGAGAAAGAGCAGAGCCAGGATTTGAGTTCGGATCTCTCTGACTCCAGACCCACGCCCTTAACTCCTACTCCTGGAAGTCCTAGGCTCACAGTTTTTCTCTTGGTTTTCCCATCTTTGGAAACAGACTGGTAGTTTCTCAAATAAAGATAGAGTTACTCTGTGACCTAGCAATTCCTCTCTTAGGTATATACCCCAAAGAAATGAAAACCTATGTTCACACACAAAACTCTGACATTACTGTTCAGCATGGGTCATAACAGCCCAAAATGGAGAAAACTCAAGTGTCCACCATACATAAACAAAATGTGGTCTCTTGATACAATGGAATATTATTCAGCCATAAAAAGGAATTCGGTACAGTAAGTCCTCAATTAATATCATCCACAGGTTCTTGGAAACTGTATCCTTAAGAAAAATGACGTACTGTATACTGTAGGAACTTAACTCTTGCTTATCTTTTAATTTTTAATTTTTTTTTTTTGAGAAGGAATCTTGCTCTGTTGCCCAGGCTGGAGTGCAGTGGCATGAACTCAACTCACTGCAACCTCCACCTCCCGAGTTTAAGCAATTATTTTGCCTCAGCCTCCCAAGCAGCTGGGATTACAACACACCACCGTATCTGGCTAATTTTTTTTTTATTTTTAATAGAGACAGGGTTTCACCATGTTTGGTCAGCCTGGCCTCGAACTCCTGACCTCAAGTGATCTGCCTACCTCAGCCTCCCAAAATGCTGGGATATCAGGCATGAGCCACCCGCCTGACCTAAATTCTTGCTTATAGTAATTAGCCATGGTATATTTGATTTCCTTACACGTTGTGAGTCAGGACTTACTGTACCGACACATGCTACAACATGGATGAACCATTATGCTAAGCGGAAAAAGCCAGCCCCCCTCGCCCCGCAAAACACGTATGATTCCGTTTATACGAAATGTCTGGAATAGGCAAATCTATGGACACAGAAAGCTGTTCGGTGGTTGCCAGGGGCTGGGGAGCAGGAAGTGACTGGTCATGAGTACAGGCTTTTTTAGGGCTCGTAGACAATGTTCTGGAATCAGCAGCACAAGTAATTGCAGCAACTCTGTGAATACACTAAAGATCATAGAATAGTACACTTTAAAAAGGTGAATTGTTTGGGATGTGAGTTCCATCTCTATAAAGTCCTTTTAAAAGAGAGGAAGGTGGGGGCTTCAGAGCTGTCCTCATTCCTTTTGATAGATGAAATTTATGTCCCTAAACAGAGCTGAAAATACACTCAGTTCAGACATGCTATCTCTAGCAGCTGTGTGACCTTGGGCAAGTCACTCCACGTCTCTGAGCCGCAGTTTCCTCAACTGTAAATTAAGTGTACCTGGGATGCCCTCAGTGTCCTGGCAGGAGCTGATAATTTGGGACTTGCCGGAGAGAAGGAGGGGGCCCTGGCAGGTCATTCTGTCCCTCTGTGGGTGGGCAGTCTGCTCTTCCAGGACTGGGTGAGACCTGAGCAGGGCAGGGCCCGGCTGAGGGTCTGTGTGTCTCTCCCTAAAGGTGGAGTTCTCTCCGAAGACCCTCCAGCAGAAGCCGCCCAATGGCTGGTTCCGCCTCCTGCCCTTTCCCAGAGCAGAGGAGGATTCTGGGTAAATGTGGGTGCAGAGGGAGATGGCCAGGCTGGAGCCACGTCAGGCAGCATCCACAGCTTGTGGGCAGAGCCCATGCCATTCCATGCACTATAACTATGCCACTTCATTCATGCATTCATCCGTTTGACAACTGTCTACAGACGGTCTCTCAATGTGTTTACATAAGTTCACATGAGTTTGCTTTATACCCATTCACCTATTCATGTGCAAACATGTTGGTTCACACTTGATGTATATTCAGAACTTTGGGTCCTTCCACACGTGTCCATACTGTTCATTCTTGAGCACACTTGGTTAAACCATCTCTGCTTGTCCTGTCTTGTTTATACCCATCAAGATCAGTTCACACCTGTTTGTACTGGCCACACCGCTGACACTCATCTTGTCCACACATCCTGTACATAATTTGTGTACACCGGCCACATCTATCCACTCTGGCCACAGCTGTTTACATTGCTTGTGTACATTCCTTTTTTATTTTTGAGATGGAATCTTGCTCTGTCGCCCAGGCTGGAGTGCAGTGGTGCGATCTCAGCTCACTGAAACCTCCGTATTCAGGGTTTAAGTGATTCTCCTGCCTCAGCCTCCCAAGTAGCTGGGATTACAGGTGTGTGACACCATGCCCAGCTAATTTTTTTGTATTTTTAGTAGAGACAGAGTTTCACCGTGTTAGCCAGGATGGTCTTAATCTCCTGACCTCTCCTGACCTCCGTCTGCCTCGGCCTCCCAAAGTGCTGGGATTACAGGTGTGAGCCACAATGCTCAGGCTGTACATTCCTATTTTTACCTGTTTGCACCTGCCTACCCCTGTTCACACCTGTCCACACGTGTCTATACCTGCCCACACCTGGCTTGTTTTGCGAACATCCACCCTCTTCCCATGTGTGCCCATTGGCCTCTCGTGGCTCTTCACGCCTGCCCATGCGCACTTGTGCTCTTCCGTAAAAGCATTGTGTATTTTATTTTCTTTTTCTTTTTATTTGAGATGGAGTCTCATTCTGTCACCCAGTCTGGAGTGCAGCGGCACAATCTCAACCTCTGCCTCCCAGGTTCAAGTGATTCTCCTGCCTCAGCCTCCTGAGTAGCTGGGACTACAGGTGTGTGCCACCACGCTGGCTACTTTTTGTATTTTTAGTAGAGATGGGGTTTCGCCATGTTGGTCAGGCTGGTCACAAACTCCTGACCTCAAGTGATCTACCCACCTCGGCCTCCCAAAGTGCTGGGATTACCGGCATGAGCCACCGCACCCAGTCGGATCTTTCATTTTCTTATGATCTGATCCTGGACAGGGGGAGCCTGGGTGCCCTGCGCCTGAAGGTGCGCCTGATCGAGGACTGCGTCCTGCCCTCCCAGTGTTACCAGCCTCTCGTGGAGCTGCTCATGGAGTCTGTGCTGGGGCCAGCAGAGGTGGGTGTGGCAGGCAAGCAATGCTACCAGGGGGTGAGGGGGGGTCTGGATCCTGGACTCCCCTGCCTCATGGAGCCCTATCTAGGCCCATCAGCTTTGGGGGTCCCAGGGGCCGAGGTCACCTCTGCCTCACATCCCCATCTAGGAGGACACTGCTAGCCCCCTGGCTTTGCTGGAAGAGCTGACCTTCGGGGACTGCCGCCAGGACCTTGCCACCAAGCTGGTGAAACTCTTTCTTGGCCGGGGACTGGCTGGACGCTTTCTGGACTATCTCACCCGGCGTGAGGTGGCTCGGACCAGTGAGTTGCCCGCACGACCCCCCGCCATCATCCCCCCTCCCCAGTGATGGGCCTGCAGGAGGGTCCCTGGGGGAGGAATGGGGAGGTATCAGGCAGGGGGAAAGGGCTTTTTTTTCTGTGGGTCCCTGTACTGTGCACCCCCAGACAACTGGGAGCCCAATTGCCCGCTCAGGCCCTGGTTTTGCCACTCATGAGCTGTGACCTCAGGCAGTTCACTTAACCACTCTGGGCCTCTGTACTGTGAATCGGGTTGATGTTTTGGGTCTTTCTGATTCTTGGGGCTGGAAGAATCATGACCCCCACCTTGGGTAAGTGGGGTGAGCTGGGTGCAGCTCCTGAAATCCCAGAAAACACTTCCTTTTGCCCTCCCAGTGGATCCCAACACCCTCTTCCGTTCTAACTCCCTGGCATCCAAGTCGATGGAACAGTTTATGAAGGTGAGTAGGTGAAGGCCTGGCAGGGGGTGGGGTGGGGGGGCGCCAGGCGCGGCTTCCTCGAGTATGTCCTTCCCAGTGCCTGCCTGGATCCCGCACTCGGCTGGCTTCAGACAGCACTGGGTGGCTGAGCTGCAGTGCTGGTGGCTGGTGCCAGGCCTCGCCCTGAGTTGCACCTGGGTGTGTCCCCCACCCCAGCCCTGGCCTTTCTCTGAACCTCTCCCTGCATGGTCCCCCCTGTGTCCAGCTCATGGGCATGTACCGGCCTTGCCCTCAGCCCCGCCTCGTGTGGTGCCCCCTACCCCCAGCTCGTGGGCATGCCCTATCTGCATGAGGTCCTGAAGCCTGTGATTAGCCGTGTCTTTGAGGAGAAGAAGTACATGGAGCTGGATCCCTCCAAGATGGACCTGGGCCGCACCCGGTGAGCAAAACCCTGACCCTCAGATGGCCTCCCTTGGCTACCTGGAGCCCTGTCTGGGGACTGGGTCGATGCTGACTGCCACCCACCCTGGGGGTACGGCTGCTCAGGAGCTCAGTGGCTGAGCTCAAAGCCTTACACATGAGCCCTTAGATCCTCAGGCTGTATAGTATAGGGGTTATGTTTGGGACTCTGATACTAAGCTCCCTAGGTTTGTAATCCCAGCTCTGCCAATACTGGTGGACAAAATTGCCAAAACTTCTATACCTTAGTTGTTAAGTTGTTTTCGTGCACGTGTGTGTGTGTGTGTGTGTGTGCTTTGAGACAGGGTTTTACTCTGTCACCCAGGCTGGGGTGCAGTAGTGTGACCATGGATCACTGCAGCCTCAACTTCCTGGGCTCAGGTAATTCTCCCACTTCAGCCTTCGGAGTAGCTGAGACTACAGGCACACATCACCATGACCAGCTAAGTTTTTGCATTTTTAGCAGAGATGGGATTTCGTCACATTGCCCAGGCTGCTCTTGAACTCCTGGGCTCAAGCAATTCTCCTGTCTTGGTCTCTCAAAGTGCTGGGATTACAGGTGTGAACCACTTCGCCTGGCATAATCAAATTTTTTAAGATTAAAAAACCTAAAATATTGATCTAATGTTCTTCTACTTAATGCACATATTACTTCTAAAATATCCCTTATCCAGCTTGTGAGAATATTGTGGCCTGAAGCGTGGACTCATGACCGCTGCTCCATGGTGTGTGGGACTTAACTGAGTTATGCATGTGCTCCACAAGCATTCGTGACTTTTTTTTTTGAGAGACAGTCTCACTCTGTCGCCAGGCTGGAGTGCAGTGGCACGATCTTGGCTCACTGCAACCTCCGCCTCCCTGGTTCAAGAGATTCTCCCCCGCCTCAGCCTCCTGAGTAGCTGGGACTACAGGCGTGCGCCACCACGTCCAGTTAATTTTTGTATTTTTAGTGGAGATGGGGTATCACCATGTTGGCCAGGATGGTCTCGATCTCTTGACCTCGTGACCCACCTGCCTAGGCCTCCCAAAGTGCTGGGATTACAGGTGTGAGCCATTGCGCCCGGCCAGTGATCTTTATTACTGTGGTGCTGGGGGTCCCTGACATTAGTGATCTTTCTTACTGTGGTGCTGTGGTTCGCTGACATTGGTGATCTTTATCACCATGCTGCTGGCAGTCCCTGAGTGGGCCTGCCTACAAGGGAGATGGTGGAGTGCTCAGTGAGATTGCAAGGAAGCACAGCAGTGGCTGGAGCTCATTCCGCCCCTCCATGGGCTCCTCCTCCTTTCTCTCCAGAACCTTCTCCTATCTGGCCCGGAAGCCTGGGACTGTGGAAAACGATTGCTGGGGTATCCATTGGGGACTGTGGCAGAGACAGGAGAGTGTCTTTCCTTGTGCTGTCCACACCTTCTGACTACCTTAGAGGCAGACATCAGGACCCCCTCTTACTGATGATGCAACTGAGCCTCAGAGAGGGAAGGTCACCTGCCTGAGGTCACATAGCCAGGAAGTTACAAAGCAGGGATTTTGTCCCAGGCCCTGAGCAGAAGGGCCCAGTCCATCTGTGAGACTCCAAGTCGAGGGCTTTTCCTAGCACACTTGACAAGAATGGAGGAGACTCAGTGGGCACCCATGGGGAAAGGGCATCAAGAGACCTGGGCAGGGCAGGATAGCAGGCAGGCTCTGGAGTTGGCAGGCCTGAGTTCTAATCTCAGCTGTGCCATCTCCCCAGTAATCTCTCTGAGCCTCAGTTTTCTTCTCTGTTAAATGGGAGCAGTAATCAAGTTGCTGTTAGGATTAAATGAGACCCTGCCAGAGACAATGAATCCAGGGCTCTGCAGATTGGGTCCAGGACACAGTGGGGCTGGGTGTGGGCAAGACAGACCCTCAATCTGTGGGGAAAGAAAGGAACACGGTGATTGCAGATGGAAACTGCTGTTCTATCATCCACCAAACAAAACAATTGAGTGCCAGGCTCTGGGCTGAACACTGAGGATACAGGAGGGAACAAACAGTCCCAAGTCCCTATTCTGGGGGGGGACAGATAATGAGCAACTGGAAGAAGAAGGCTTATTGTTTTCTGGTTTTTTTTTTTGAGAGGGAGTCTCTCTCTGTCACACAGGCTGGAATGCAGTGGCACAATCTTGGCTCACTGCAACCTCCACCTCCCAAGTTGAAGTGATTCTCCTGCCTCAGCCTCCTGAGTAACTAGGATTACAGCTGTGCACCACCACACTGGGCTAATTTTTGTATTTGTTGGTGGAGATGAAGTTTCACCATGTTGGCCAGGCTGGTGTTGAATTCCTGATCTCAAGTGACCCGCCGCCTTGGCCTCCCAGAGTGCTGAGATTACAGGCATGAGCCACTGTGCCCGGTCGGGAAAAGGTTATTGAAGGGAACTAAGGAATGTAAGGAAACGAGGCAGGGGAGAGGCCTGCCATATTCCTAGGGCGGGGACAGGGGCAACCTCACAGGAAAGGGGACATCGAAGCAAAGACTTACAGGCAGTGAGAAAGGGGGTCTTGTGGAGATTTAATGGGAGAGCATTCTGGGGAGGGAGATGAGCCCAATGCAAAGGCTGTGAGGTGGGAATGAGCTCATCCTGTTTGAGCAACAGCAAGAAACCCAATAGGAAGGGGCAGGAGGGAGGCTGCGGAGGTGTGGGAAAGATGGGTCCTCTCTGAGCTTGGGCTGGTGGAGGGTTTGGGGCAGGCAGATGCTGAGCCCCGAGGCTGAGCTGCTCCGCCCGCCCCTCCAGGAGGATCTCCTTCAAAGGCGCACCCTCGGAGGAGCAGATGCGGGAGACCAGCCTGGGGCTGCTGACGGGCTACCTGGGGCCCATCGTGGACGCCATCATGGGCTCGGTGGGGCGCTGCCCGCCTGCCATGCGCCTCGCCTTCAAGCAACTGCACCGGCGCGTGGAGGAGCGCTTCCCCCAGGCGGAGCACCAGGTGCGCTGGGCTGGGAGGCTGAGGCTAGGGACAGGCCAGAGCTTGTCCAGGGTCACTCTGAGGAGTCAGAGCAGGGCTGGGACCTGAACCTAGGCTGCCGGCATTAGAGCACTCTTTTCTGGTTGAAGTGGGGACAGCGTTACTGGCAGGGTCCCAGTCCCAAGAATGATAATAATCATAAAAATAGGCGAGGCGCGGTGCCTCATGCCAGTAATCCCAACACTTTGGGAGGCTGAGGAGGGTGGATCGCTTGAGGTCAGGAGTTCGAGACCAACCTGGCTAACATAGTGAAACCCTTTCTCTACTAAAAATACAAAAATTAGCTGGGCATGGTGGCGCACGCCTGTAATTCCAGCTACTCAGGAGGCTGAGTCAGGAGAATGGCTTGAACCCAGGAGGCAGAGGTTGCACCACTACACTCCAGACTGGGTGACGGAGATAGACTCTGCCTCAAAATAAATAAATAAATAAAAATAAATAAACAAATAAAATAGTAGCAGCTAACACTATATAGCCTGACCATGGGCCAGATCTCATTTTAGGTGATCTATGCATTTATTACTCTATCTAGTCATCACGTGCACCTGGTGAGGTGGATACCAGCATTATCCCCATTTTACAGAGGAGGAAACCAAGGCCCAGAGAGCTTAAGTCACACAGCTAGAAAGGGGTGACGTTGGGACTGGCACTCACCCAGGCAGGCTGGCTCCTGAGTCTGTCGCTCATAACCAGCAATGAATAGTCTGGCACGAAGACAGTGCTTCTTAAAATTCCAGCTGTATGACAGAGAGAGGAAGCAGGAGAGAAGAATGCAGATCTGGCATACAGCGAGTGCTCAGAAACGCCCAGAATAAAGTCCAGAAATAACTCCCTGCAGGTGTAGTCTATACTGAAAAGGATAGAAAAGTTGAAAACTCAGACGCGGTGAGTTGCAGGCAGATGAGGCACAGGAAGCAAGCAGGCAGGCGTGGGGTGGTAGTGAGTTGTGGAGACTGCGGCCAGCTGGAGCCCCCAGAGCTTGCCTAAAGCGGACAGCTCCAGGGGATCACTGCCATATGGAAATGGGAGCCGAGTACTGCCAGATCTTTAGAGATTCTGGATTTTATGTGAGGTGTCTTATTTATTTACTCATTTATTTATTACTTTTGAGATGGGGTCTTGCTCTGTTGCCCAGGCTGGAGTGCAGTGGCATGATCACAGCTCACTGCAACCTCTATCTTCCAGGCTCAAGTGATCTTCCCACCTCAGCCTCCCGAGTTTCTGGGACTACTTGGCCGCACCACCACACCCAGCTAATTATTCATCTAGTTTTGTAGAGACAGGGTCTCACTGTGTTGCCTGAGAGGGTCTCGAATTCATGGCCTCAAGCAATCCCCCTGCCTCCACCTCCCAAAGTGCTGGAACTACAGGCATGAACTGCCGCGCCCAGCCTGGCCTCTTATTTTTGAGATGTCAGCATGAATTCACCTGAAAACCAAACACACAAAACATTTTGGGTCATTTCAAAAGACTTGTGGTTGCACTGGCCTATGGGCCACCAGTTTGAGACCCCGTGGTCGAATGCTCAGCACGCTTCCCGAGGTGGCTGTCATTGTCCTCACTTGCAGATAACATCCGGGGAGACTCTTCCGTAGTGCTGATGTATCAGATCCAGGGGTCACTTTGCAAGGAAGATCTGAGACCTGCTACAGGATGTCACTGTCATAGCCCACTTCCTAGAGTATCATTGGAGAGCATTTGAGTTATGCCATATCTCTCTCCACTTCCTGTTTACAGACAGGGAAACTGAGGCCCAGAGAGGCAAAACACCTTGGCCAACGGTCCTCCCCCTCCTCCCGGGCTGAGGAGTGAGCTCTGGGCCTTGACACTGGAATGTAGCTTGGCTTACACCTCACCTGGCTGGGCTCTCACCCGGGCTGCCAGCAGAGGTGTTAAGTCGGGCACAGCAGTGGCAGGGAACAGGGAGGAAAAGGAGGCCAGCTACCAGACAGCCTAGACCTTGTAGGAGGAGCCAATATTGGTGACACCCAAGTGTCCCCTAGTTCTCAGCCCCCAAGGTGGGCTGAGAGCAGGGACTTTCTCAGGCCTGGGGAACCCAGGGAAGCCTCCTTCTCTGCTGTGCTAATAGCGGTTCCTCGCCCTCAAAAAGGAGGAAGCTAAGGAGCTGATGTGCAGACTAATATTACTATGGACTACAGATGTGGTGTGGTAGCGGTCGCTTTGGGGACAGTGCAGGGCTTCAGGTGGAGGGGAAGACGCTTCCTCTGGGCAGTTCCAGGTACCCAGCTCCTGCAGGGCTCACTGTCAAGGCCAAGTTGACACCCAGGGAGGGCATTGTTTCATGTGTGACTGCAACCTCTAAATAAACACAGGCGCAGACTCTCGGGCTAAATATAGTGGGACAAGTGTGAGAGGTGAGTGGGGAGCTGGTTTGTGGGGAGCAAGATGCACCTAGGATGGAGGGACACCCTTCCCTGAGTCACCTCTACTGGCGCTGGGGAACCAGCCTTACCTTTAGATGGGCCAGGCCCGGGACTCACATGGAGAGGCACCATACTCTACAGTTTGTAGAGGGCATAGGTTGGGGGTGGGGAGGTGCACATAGGATGGACCCAAGCCCATCAGACTGGGTTCAGTACTGAGCCTCAGTTTCCTCATCTGAAAAAATGGGATAATAGCGCCTACCTACCCCCACAGGGTTATTTGAGGACTAAATGTGGTAGTTGAGACTTGGTTTCTAACACTTGGTGAGGGCTCCTTGGCAGCTGGTGTTGAATGGCAGGAGAGTGTGGTGAGGAACGGAGAGTTCAAATCCTTGGCTGGGCACGGTGCCTCATGCCTGTAATCCTGGCACTAGGAGGCCAAGGCGGGTGGATCACTTGAGGTCAGGAGTTCAAGACCAGCCTGGCCAGCAGGTGAAACCTTGTCTCTACTAAAAAAAAAAAAAAAAAAAAAAATATATATATATATATATATACACACACACACACACACATATATATACACACACATTATATATATACACACACACATATACATATATATATGTATACACCCACACACACACACAAATTAGAAATTAGCTGGGTGTGGGGACACCTGTAATCCCAGCTACTCAGGAGGCTGAGGCGTGAAAATCACTTGAACCTGGGAGATGGAGGTTGCAGTAAGCAGAGATCGTGCCACTGAACTCCAGCCTGAGATACAGAGCATGACTCTGCCTCAAAAAAAAAAAAAAAAAAGAATAAAAAATCCAAGTCCAACTCCTGGCTCTGCCACTTATGGCTGTGTGGCCTTAGGCGAGGAAGCTTCCCTCTCTGGGCCTCAGTTGCCTGTGCTGTAAAATGGAGATGTAATGCTTCCTGGGATGAGTATTAAATAAACAAATGTATTGAGAGGTATCTGTCCTGCTGCTGTTATCATAAATCACAGATCTGGGTTTGAATCTTGACTTTGCCACTCATTAGCTGTGTGACCCTGAGCAAATCGCTTGATGTCTCTGAGCTTCTGCTTCCTCATCTGTAAAATGGTAGTCACGATGGTGCCTCCCTCACAGGGCTGTGCTCTTGGCATAGTGCTTGGCGCAAAGGCAATTCTGAGGACATTTGGCCAAATTTGCTTTCGTAGAATTGGTTTTGTTATTCCATTTTCCAGGTGGGAAAATTGAGACCCAGAGAGGAAAAACTTCCTTGGCCGGCCAGTGGGGCTTCCTGGTCAATTTCCTATCCCGTTTCTCTTTGCACCACGAATTTCTAGTTCTTGCTGCCTCAGTTTACCTGGCTGGGAAGTGGGTTTGGGGGGCTCCTCTCACCTGTTGCTCCCCCCAGCAGGACGTGAAGTACCTGGCCATCAGTGGTTTTCTCTTCTTGCGATTCTTTGCACCCGCCATCCTTACCCCGAAGCTGTTTGACCTGCGGGACCAACACGCAGACCCCCAAACGAGCCGCTCACTGCTGCTGCTTGCCAAGGTGCCAGCCGTGAGGTTCCCCCATCCCCCATACTCTTAGCTAGGGATAAAGCATGGTAGGAACAGAGCTGGGAGGCCAGAGCCTCTTAAGACCCAAAGAAACCCATGTCTGAAACACCACCACTAGCATTCCATTCCAAGGGTAAAGGCAGTCATTATGACTCCAGTTTCCTCTTTGGAAATGAAAGCCCAACCCTTCCAGGAGGAGAGTAGAAAGCAGGCTAGCAGTCATTCACACCTTGGTATGAGTTAGATCATCTTTTGCAAAGGGGCAACAGCTTGAGATTCTGCTGGGCTCCTGAGTGTGCATGGTAGGACTGAGCAGTCCTGGCTGGGGAGGGTCTGGGCTTGGGAGGGAACAGAATAAGGTCACCGGAGGGTGCAGATTCCAAGAAGAAGGGGAAACAGGTATCACCCAAGGCAGTCATTGATATGAATCTTCTTATTTATTTATTTCTTTGAGACAAGTCTTGCTCTGTCACCCAGGCTGGAGTGCAGTGGCGTGATCTTGGCTCACTGCAGCCTCCGCCTCCCGGGTAGAAGTGATCCTCCCACCTCAGCTTCTGGAGTAGCTGGATTTATAGGCGTGCACCACTATGACTGGCTAATTTTTGCATTTTTAGTAGGAATGGGGTAACACCATGTTGGCCAGGCTGGTCTCAAACTCCTGACCTCAAGTGATCCGCTTATCACAGCCTCCCAAAGTGCTGAGATTACAGGTGTGAGCCACCATGCTTGTCAATATAAGTCTTCCTTTCACTGAGCACTAATTTGGGAGCCAGAAGTCCACAGAGGGCGCCCCCTCTGCTGTGACCTTGGCCCTGGCATCCCCCGATTCTTTGCTCCAGGCTGTGCAGAGCATCGGAAACCTGGGCCAGCAGCTGGGCCAGGGCAAGGAACTGTGGATGGCCCCCCTGCACCCCTTCCTGCTGCAGAGCGTCTCACGGGTCAGAGACTTCCTGGACCGGCTGGTGGATGTGGATGGGGATGAGGGTGAGTTCCTCTGGTCCTGCCACACCTGGCTTCTCAACCCAATTGGGACACCACTCAGGGATGCCCCTTTCTCTCCACCAGCTCCTCAGCACTGAAAATGTGAATCTGTGGGTCAGTCAGTCAACTAACATTTCCTGACACCTACTGTGCTAGGTCCCAGAGATGAACAGAGCCCAGAGCCCAGGTGCTGTCCTCCAAGCCACCCCAGCCAATATGGGGATGTGGTTGCGGGTGGGATCGTGGCATGGTGTGCATCGATCTATTAACATCTATTAAGCGCTTACTATGTAACAGGCACATTTCTAGGTGTGCTGAGGATGTCGCAGTGAACAAGACAGAGAAAATCTCATCTCATAGAGGTTTTATTTTATTGGAGACTACAGGCTGTCAGCAAGATAAATAAGCAACTTATGTGGGATGTTAGAGAGCTGTAAGTGCTGAGGAGGGAAAATCAAGGAGGAAAGACGGGACCTGAAAGGGAACAGGTAGAGAGCCGTGAGGATCCTGGGAAGAGTGTGCCAGGCAGGGTGCAGCATGTGCAAGGTCCCTGAGGTAGGACAGAGAGCAGCAGTGAGGACACTTGTGAAGAAGAGTGAATTGAAGCAGAGAGGAGGCAAAGAGGTGAGGCCAGAGAGGTGAGGGGGCCTCATAGGCCTCGGGAAGAATTTTAGCTTCGACTTGCAGTGAAGCAGAACCACAGGATGATTCGTAGCAGAAAAGTTGTGGTTGAGTCCATGCCAAATGTGGGGGCCAGGTCATCACCTAGTTGGGTCCCAGTCCCACGGGAGCAACCTGTCAGAATGTAGAGCCTGATTGTGGCACAGTGGGGTCCCTGTGATGCTGGGGTGGGGTGGTGGGGCTGTGTCCTGGCTCCCTGGGCATGGTTAGATGTAGGGCACTGCCTGGATGCGACCCTGTAGGGTATGGCTGCTCCTGCAGGAGTGCGAGAGCAGCATGGCCAACATGGTGAAACTCCGTCTGCACACTTCTGCAGATTTCTCTGGTTGGAGAGGTCTTCAGGGGCTACTCTGACCACCTTCTCCTCCAGGCTTCCATGATTGCATTCCCAATTGAGGGAGTGGAGTCTGAAGTCATCCTGCCTCTAAGGGAGCAGAGAACCATGCCCATCCATTGAGGCCCTCCCTGGGCATGCTAGTGGAGCAGGGTGAGCCTGGAGAGGGCAGGCTCACTGTCCACCATCTCTTCTCTCATTTCCCAGGGGCTGCTGTCCCAGCCAGGGCCCTGGTACCACCCTCAGCGATTGTTCGAGAAGGCTATCTGCTGAAGCGAAAGGATGAGCCCGCCAGCCTGGCCACACGCTTCGCCTTCAAGAAGCGCTACGTCTGGCTCAGTGGGGAGACCCTCTCCTTCTCCAAGAGTCCTGAGTGGCAGGTGGGGCTCTAGTCCACTATGGAGGGGCTTTTAGGGGTGGCCTTTTTCAGGGTGCTGCCTCTTTGTACCCACCAGGATCTAGGGCACATGCTAGACAGACTAAAGTTTGGATGTGTTCACTTGGAATATGCACAGACATTCAGGCACATCCATCCAAGCATTCATTCAGCACATATTTATTGAGTGCCTACTATGTGCCAGTGTCCTAGGCACTGGAGATAGAGGAGTGAACAAGACAGGTGGAAACCCTGTCCTCGTGGGGCCGGCGTTCATCACTAGAATGCCCCGAGACCTGTGCTGGAATCTCCCGAATGCGGAGCTTTGTGCACAGCAGTAGAGGGTCACAGCTAACACCGGGAAGGGAGCCCATGTTGACTCTTTCCATTGTATCAGAACAGCGGATATTCTAGGGGTCCACTCTCTGGGTTCTGATTTTGGGTCCACCCGATGAGTGACCTTGGAAGGGTCATCTATCTTCCTGTGCCTCAGTTTTCTCATCTGCAGGATGGGGAGAATAATCGAACCAACCCCAGAAGTTTGCTGTGACCATTAAATAAGTTGATCAATGTAAAGTGCTTAGAACTTCGTCCCAAGCACCACAGAAGTGGTAGCTACTATTAGGAAGGAAACCGATGCGGATGCCGAGAGAAGTCACTTAGAGAGCTGGCGGCGAGGTGGCTCACGCCTGTAATCCCAGCACTTTGGGAGGCTGAGGTGGGCGGATCACCTGGGGCCAAGAGTGTGAGGCCAGTCTGGCCTACATGGTGAAACCTTGTCTCTACTAAAAATACAAAAATTAGCTGGGCGTGGTGGTGCATGCTTGTAATCCCAGCTACTTGGGATGCTGAGGCAGGAGAATCGCTTGAACCTGGGAGGTGGAGGTAGCAGTGAGCCAAGATCGTGCCACTGCATTCCAGCCTCGGCGGCAGAGAGAGAGACTCAGTCAATTAAAAAAAAAAAAATGGATAGGGCAGGACTCGTGAACAGCCCACATGGATGGATGGAGGGGCACACAGAGCACAGACTTACGGGTGGAATGTCCCCGCTCTGGGAACTGACTTCACCTGCCGCACACAACCAGACGGAAGCTGTCCCCACCCTGGCCCTAGCCCCCAGCCCATCCCGCAGCTACAATCCTCTTCCCTAGACGCGCCACTCCATCCCAGTGTCGCACATCCGCGCCGTGGAGCGCGTGGACGAGGGCGCCTTCCAACTGCCCCACGTGATGCAGGTGGTGACGCAGGACGGCGCGGGGGCGCTGCACACCACCTACCTCCAGTGCAAGGTAAGGCACCGCAGGGATGGGGAGCTGGGGCGTCCCTCGGTTCCCACCCCGCCCCCTAATCGCCTCCCACTCGCTGCAGAATGTGAACGACCTCAACCAGTGGCTCTCGGCCTTGCGCAAGGCCAGCGCCCCTAACCCGGACAAGCTGGCCGCCTGCCATCCCGGTGCCTTCCGCAGCGCGCGCTGGACCTGCTGCCTCCAGGCTGAGCGCTCAGGTGAGGGGACAGGGCGGACTGTAGGCTCCGCCCTTCCCACCCGTCAATCAGCGGGTGTCCCACCTCTGCCCGGGCTGGCTGTGCAACTTTGGGCAAGTTACTCAACCTCTCTATGCCTCAGTCTCCTCAGCTGTGAAATGGGGTTGATGACAGTGCCTACCTCGTGGAGTTGTGAGGAGTAAATGACTAGGTTTACACAAAGCGCATAGGACGCTGCTTGGCCCATTCGGCGCATTTTTAAAGTACTCACTAGGTGCCAGCATCCGGTGGTGCCCAGACATCAAGGAGCTTGTTCTCAGGAAGATGGATGCATAACCCCATTTTTTTTTTTTTTTTTTTTTTTTTGAGACAGAGGCTCACTCTGTCTTCCAGGCTGGAGTGCAGTGGCACGATCTTGGCTCACTGAAACCTCAGCCTCCAGGCTTCAAGCGATTCTCCTGCCTCACAGCCTCCTGAGTTGCTGGGATTACAGGTGTGTGCCACTGCACCCAGCTAATTTTTTTATATTTAGTAGAGATGGGGTTTCACCATGTTGGTCAGGCTGGTCTCAGACTCCTGACCTCAGGTGATCCACCCGCCTCAGCCTCCCAAAGTGCTGGGATTACAGGTGTGAGCCACTGCCCCTGGCCTTCTGTTAACACAATATTATAAGTGCCAAGATGAGGCTTTTGAGAACTCCAAAGGATGTCTCTGACCCAACCTTAGGATGGGGGCTCAAGGAGGGCTTCCTGGAGGAGATGCTGCTCAAATATGACCTGAGTAGAGGAGAAGTTAAGCAGCGATATTGGAGACAGAACTGGGAACTGGGGGTAAGGAAGGGTTGCAGGCGTCATGAGCAAAGGCCTGGAGGTGGGACGAGGCAGGCTGACGGATGGAAAAGGGTCTGTGTGGCTGGAGCCTGGAGTGAGGGAGGAGTACTGGGAGAGACGAGGCTACTGCTGGAGTCTGGGAGCAGCCGTGGGGCTGGATGGGAGTGGAGGACATAAGATTTAAAGGAAGTCGTGGGTTTTTCTGTTTGTGTTTTTGAGACAGAGTCTCTCTCTGTTGCCTGGGCAGGAGTGCAGTGGTACATTCATGGCTCACTGCAGCCTTGAACTCCTGGGCTCAAACAGTCCTCTCACCTCAGCCTCCCAAGTAGCTGGGACCACAGACATGTGCCACCATGCAAGGCTATTTTTTTTTTTTTTTTTTTTGAGACAGAGTCTTGCTCTGTTGCCCAGGCTGGAGTGCAGTGGCACAATCTTAGCTCACTGCAACCTGTGCCTCCCAGGTTCTAACAATTCTCCTGCCTCAGCCTCCCAAGTAGCTGAGATTACAGACCTGTGCCACCAAGCCCAGCTAATTTTTGTGTTTTTAGTAGAGATGGGGTTCACCATTTTGGCTAGGCTAATCTCAAACTCCTGACCTCAGTGATCCACCTGCCTTGGCCTCCCAAACTGCTGGGATCACAGGTGTGAGCCACCACTCCAGGTCCAAGACTAATTTTTAAGTTATGTGTAGAGATGAGGTCTCGAACTCTTGGGCTTGAAATCCCAGCTTCCAAAAGTGCTGGGATTTCAGGCCTGAGCCACTATGCATGGCCTAGAAGTAGTAGGTTTGAGGAGGGATTTTAGAGGCAGAAGGGGCAGGGCTTGGCGACTGCCTGGCTGTGGGGGCTTCTGGAAGGGGAGAGGGCATTACTGATGAATGAAGCTATGTCCCCTCAGCCGCTGGCTGCAGCCGTACACACTCGGCCGTCACCCTAGGGGACTGGAGTGACCCCCTGAACCCTGATGCTGAGGCCCAGACGGTGTATCGGCAGCTGCTCCTCGGGCGGGACCAGCTCAGGTGGGTGCCCCCACCCATCCCATTTCACCTGTGACCAGCCGGCCCAGCCCCCCACCATGGCCTTGCTGTGTTCATTTAGTCATTCTTTACATGTGTGTTTGGGGGAATCTTCCCCGGGGCCCTGGCCCAGGCCCAGGGTGGGGACTGGGTGTCTACACTGTCGGGGCTTGGGAAGCATCCTCAGTGGGAGGGGTTTCTCATGCAGAACTGGGTCTTGGGATCTTTTAATACCTGGGGCCGCAGAGACCCTGGCACAATTCCTGTAAAATCTTGGCCCCTGTGCTTGCTAAATGACCTTGGGTAGATCTCTTTCCCTTGCTGGTATGAGGATCACTGTCACTGTTACTTGGTGACGGAAATTTGGCCCAACTGATTATAGAGTGGGTTCTGAAGCTGACCTGCCTGGGTTCAAATCCTGACCTAGACACTTACCAGCTGTGTGATCTTTTTTAAAATAATTATTTATTAATTAATTAAATTATTTATTAATTTAGATAGAGTCTCACTCTGTTGCCCAGGCTGGAGTGCAGTGGCATGATCTCAGCTCACTGCAAACTCCTTCTCCTGGATTCAAGCGATTCTCCTGGTTCAGCCTCCCGAGTAGCTGGGATTACAGGTGCGCGCCACCACCCTTGGCTAGTTTTTGTATTTTTAATAAAGACAGGGTTTCACCATGTTGGCCAGGCTAGTCTCACACTCCTGACCTCAAGTGATCCACCAGCCTCACCCTCGCCCTCCCAAAGTATGGGGATTACAGGCATGAGCCACTGCACCTGGCCAGGCTATGTGATCTTAAACAAGTTGCTTCACTTTTCTGTACATCAGTTTCCTCATTTGGAAAAGGGGGATAATAATGGTAGGGACCTTGTGGGTTGTCCTGAGGATCAAAAGAGCTACTACAGTTAGAGCACTTTGTAGGCGTCTGGGCAAATAGCTTTCAATAAATAGTAATGATGATGACGATGATGCTGTGTGACCTTAGGCAAATTACTTAACCTCTCTGTGTCTCAGTAATCATCTGTATAATGGAGCTAATAGTAAATACCTACCTCATATAAGTTTGTCATGATAATTAAATGAGTTAATACATGTAAAAGGTTTAGAATAGCATCCGGCACTCTAGAAATGTTTGCTGTATAGATGATGATGATGATGGCAGATGGTGATGGTGATGATTCAACAAAACTAATTTCTCAGAGAATCTCGGGTAGGAAGCAGGATCGGGAATCAGGGACAAGACTCGTCTTTCTCCTTCTCACCTTCCAGGCTGAAATTCCTGGAGGATTCCAACATGGATACAACTCTGGAGGCAGACACAGGTAAGGGCTCCTGAACCATAGAAGGTAAAGACCAGGCACAGTGGCTCACACATGTAATCCCAGCACTTTGGGAGGCCGAGGTGGGTGGATCACTTGAGGTTGGGAGCTGGAGACCAGCCTGGCCAACATGGTGAAACCTTGTCTCTACTAAAAATGTAAAAATTAGCCAGGCGTGTTGGTGCATACCTGTAATCCCAGCTACTCTGGAGGCTGAGGCAGGAGAATTGCTTGAACCTGGAAGGCAGAAGTTGCAATGAGCCGAGATCATGCCATCGCACTCCAGGCTAGGCGACACAGTGAGACTCTGTCTCAAAAAAGAAGAAGCTGAGGGGTCAAGGAGGTCCCTTTGGACTCGCAGGCACTTCCCCACTGTCTGCCAAGCACACCCCTATGTCCTCCTGTTTCCAGTCTATCATCAGGCCATGGGGCTGTGTGGGGGCACTCAAGGAGTTTAGGGTTCTCAGGACACAAGGCACATCTGCAGCGTGAGAAGCCATAGGGTCGGGGTTACAGCAGCCTTCCCTGGACTGGCTGAGCCCCTGTGGCCTCTTTTCTCCCCCCAGGGGCCTGTCCTGAGGTCCTGGCCCGGCAGAGAGCAGCAGCTGCCCGCCTGCTGGAGGTGCTTGAAGACCTGGATCACGCCCACGAGGAGTTCCAGCAGCAAGAGAGAGTGAAGGCAGCCCTGGGCCCCCTTGGCCCCTGAGGAAATGCCAGAGCCAGCCTGGAAGGAGGAGCAAGGAGCCCCGACGGCCCTCCTCAGTGCATCCTGCCCCAGAAGTCTCCTCGTATGTCTTTGATCCTGTGTGGTTTGGAGGCTCCCAGAGACATGCCTAGTCCTGTGTGCCTAGAGTCCAGAACTCAGGGCATAGAAGCCCTTTGCCAGGGGCCAGCCTTGCGCTGAGTGAACCTTGTTCTCTGGGTTGATTCAGACTGGAGTGGATAGGATAAGGAACCTGACTTATTTGACTGAGACTGGGGTCTCTGCTTCACCAGACTGGCCTCTATCCATACCAAGGAGGCCAGCCTGGCCCTGAGCTGCTGGATACAGCTGGACCTGAATTCCTGATGCCCATGTGATGTTATTGCCCCAGATAGGCACTAAATGGGCTCACCCCTTCCTGTTTTTGTGTTTGTTAATCTCTATAACCTCACTGATTCTTCTGTACCCTGTCCTAGGCCTGGGACCCCAACCACGAGCTTCTAGAATCAGGTACCCTCAGGAAGAACCAAGGCTGGGTGGGGATCCAGTGTGCCACACTCAGACCCTGGGAACCTGGGAAACCTTGGGCCAGGCTCTTTGTCTCTCTTTGACTCTCAGATTGCCTGCAGGCAAGAATCAGTGTTATTTAACAGATTCCTTTGGTCATATGAATGTACAACAGCTTTGAGGACCACAGGCCTGGGGAGTGGGCAATGTAATTTAATTTTATTTTGAGAGTCGGGGGCCTCACTCTGTGCCTCGGGCTGCAGTACAGTGGCATGATCGCAGATCATGCACCTCAATGATCCTCCCACGTCAGCCTCCAGAGCAGCTACAACTAAAGGTGCAAGCCACCATACCCGGCTAACTTTTAAATTTCTGTAGAGATGGGAGGGTCTCACTATGTTGCCCTGGCTGGTCTCAAACTCCTGGAGTCAAATGGGCCTCCTGCCTTGGTCTTCTTAGTTGCTGGGATTACAGGTGTGAGCCACGGTGCCAGGCTTGCAATTTTATATGCCAGGGTTTGGGTTGAGGTTTTGTCTGAGAATGAACCACGGAGTACAAATGTTTGGGAACACGTGACTGGCAGAACTGGAAGGGCCTCCAAGGACTCATTTCCGGTGTTGTGTCACTAGAGGGTGGGACAGAAACCAAAGCCTTCCTGGCAGGGGATCAAGTGGACCAGGAAAGACAGGGCGCTATCCCGAGAGTGGCCAGCAGGGGTCGCCCGAAGCCTTGGCGTCCACCAGAGCTGCCCGGGCGACCTGGCAGTTTGCAGAGGCTGATTTACGGCTTGTGCATCCTGGGGTCCATCCCTGTCTTTCCCTAGCTAGAACCGGACCCTCCTCCGCTTACGAGCTCTGAGATCCCAATGGGCTCATCACAGTGTCTCCCAGCTCCTCTGTATTTCCCCAAGGCTCCCAGCTCTCACCCTGAGTTCCTTGTTTCTTGTCATTGTGCCAGGGAGCAGATGTGTGCATTGCCTTGTGCTCTTGTGAAAGAGAAAGCTACTTTCACCTCTGCATTCTTGGAGACTAGGACTAGGAGGTCTGCCACTGCTCCACCGCCCCCACCCCTTCCAGCCTTCGGCAATGGCCCTGAAGTTGCCATTCTCTTGCAAGCCATCACTCCCAACAGGGCTGACTGTAGCCCCCAGGAACAGAGCCACCCACCCCTCTTGGCAGGAAAAGACCAGGCGAGGAGGAGAAAGACCATTTATTTCTCCACCCACAGTGGGACTGGTAGGTTTTGAAAAGAGCAATCTCTGGCATCCCTTTAAATCTTGGCTGACTCCCACCGTGGCAGCCAATCACCAGAGGCGGAGCTGGTGAGTTGCCTGGGCAACGGGCCCCTGGTTGGCCGGAGACGATTAGCCACCCCACTGCCCATTCCTAATGAAAGGGAAATTGACTCTCTGCTGTCCACTCTGCTTTAAAATGCACGGGGCCAAACTAGGCCTCCTTCTCTCACTCCTGAAGCCAGAAGCACCAGCCTTTGGCTTTCAAAATTGGGAGCGATTTGGTGGAGAGGATGGGGTAGGGAGGACAGGAGAACAGTGCCTTTACCTGGGACAGACAGAAGGCCTGGAGATAGGAAGGGAGGAGATCAGAGTCCAGAGAGATGAAGAGGCACAAACACAAAACCAGGTCCCTCTAGTCCCCACCTTCGCTGGCCATCTTTTTGTAGAACTGCTCAGTCGTCTGGGGCTTCCACTTCAAGGGCCCACAACTGCCCAATCAGTGGGTGGCAGAGACAAGTGATGACATGGAATGGGTGAGGCGTGGGGGGTACACTGCATTTCCCAAGTCATTCTTTGCCCCTAGAAGCCTGGTAGGCCCCTAAGGGCTTGCCCTGCATCCTCCAGTTCGAGGACAAGCGTGTACAGATGCAACTGAGACACAGATGGGGATCCACACAGGGGCGTCACAGGGGTCCTTCTGTCTCTTCTCTTCCAGCCTGGGGGCAAGTAGAGGCACGTGGGTGTGCGTGCATGAGTTCAACAGGACACGTGTGTTTGTGTGTGAGGGGGCAGGTCTCTGTCTTTTCAGTAGGGAGGTTTCCGGTACTCTCTGCTCGGCCCTCTCCGGGAGCTGTGATTCGGAGCCATCTCTCTTGATCCCAGCTGCCACCAGGCAGGTCCCCTGAATGGCTGGGGCTCCTTCCGCAGGCTCCTCCCCAACCCTGAACATGGGCCACCAGGACACACCTGGTGGAGGAGGCATTTGCCGGACCAGGGGCAAAGCAGCAGAGAAGATGGGCAGCCTGGGGCCTCAGGCCTTGGCCACAGCCTCGGATACACCCTGGGCTGTGAGCTCGGCCAGCACGTTGTCTAGGTAGCTAGCGTCCGGATAGCCGTGGCCCGTGAGGTTGGATCCAAACTCGGTCTTGTGGTGGATCTCGTTCCACACCACGGTGTCTGACTCGCCCGTGGTATTGGACGTGCCGATGGTGAAGATGAGTCTTCTCTCCCAGGCCGTGATGAGCAGCCGCAGCACCTGGGGGGTAGGGAGATGGTGGGGCCGGGTGCAGGTCACAGGTAGCTTCCAGCCCACCAGACTCAGCCTCCCTCCCTCCCTCCCCTGCCACATCATGGCTATGACTGCCTTATGGCTCCGTCCATTGGAACCAGCTATGTCATGCCGGCTTGGCCATTTCCTTTACATTTGTATTTCCTGAACTGCCAGTAAAAGCTATTTTCAAGTTATTTATGGTTTTTTTTTTCTTTCTTTCTTTTCTTTTTTTTTTTTTGAGGCAAGGTCTGGCTGTGTTGCCTAGGCTGGAGTGCAGCAGCACGACCAGAGCTCACTGCAGCCTTGAACTCCTGGGCTCCAGCAATCCTCCCACATCAGCCTCCCCTGTAGCTGCGAGTACAGGCGGGCACCATCAAGCCCAGCTAAAATTATAAAGTTTTGAGAGAGAAAGGGTCTCACTGTGTTGCCCAGGTTGGTCTCAAATTCCTGGCCTCAAGTGATCCTCCCACCTCAGCCTCCCCAAGTGCTGGGATTACAGTTGTATGCCATTGCACTTGGCTTGCCTGTTTCTTTCTTTTTTCATTTTTATTTTTCCAAGACAGATTCTTGCTCTGTCACCCAGGATGGAGTGCAGTGGCACAATCTCAGCTCACTGCAACCTCTGCCTCGTGGGTTCAAGCAATTCTCCTGCCTCAGCCTCCCAAGTAGCTGGGACTATTGGCACACGCCACCATGCCCGACTAATTTTTTGTAGTTTTTGTAGAGATGAGGTTTCGCCATGTTGGCCAGGCTGGTCTTGAACTCCTGACCTCGTGATCCACCTGCCTCAGCCTTCCAAAGTGCTGGGATTACAGGCGTGAGCCACTGCACTCCGCCCTGGCTGGTTTTCTTCTGGGGTGAAGAAAGCATCTGGCAGCTCTCTGCCCTATTTAGTCTGAACTGAACATTGTATTAAAGAGCCAGTTGTAAATTAGTTACTAACATTCAAAAGCCTGCAGATTTCCCACGAAAATCTGGCTTTCTGGCTGCTCTTGAAAAGCAGACACTCAAATCAGATGACTTGTAGTGTGGTGGTGAGAGCTTGAACTGCCTGGGCTCAAGTCCCAGCTCCGTCACTTAGTTTCTGTGTGACCTTGGGCAAGTGACTTGCCCCCTCTGATGCCTTGCATCTTTGTCTATGAAATGGGGTCAGGACCTTGACCTCAGTGTCTCGGGAAAGGAGATAAGGTATGAGAAAGAGGTGGCCGTGGT